CCCCCCCCCCCGTGCCCTGGACTGATCCCACAGTGTGAGCAGCAGGGGAGGGGGGGGATTCTGCCCCTCTGACCCATTCACGTAAGACTCCACTCTCCAGCTCTCAGGCCCCCAACATCTGAAGGACATGGAGCTGTTGGAACAAGTCCAGAGGAGGCCACAGAGATGCTCCAAGAGCTGGAGCCCCTCTACTCTGGAGCCAGGCTGGGAGAGCTGGGGGTGCTCACCTGGAGAAGAGAAGGATCCAGGGAGAGCTGAGAGCCCCTTGCAGGGCCTAAAGGGGCTCTAGGAGAGCTGGAGAGGGACTTGGGACAAGGGATGGAGGGACAGGACACAGGGAATGGCTTCAAACTGACAGAGGGTAGGTTTAGATGGGATATTGGGAAGGAATTCTTGGCTGTGAGGGTGGGAGGCCCTGGCACAGGTTGCCTGGTCCAGTGGAAGGTGTCCCTGCCCACGGCAGGGGGTTGGAACAACATGATGTTTAAGTTCTCTTCCAACCCAAGCCATTCTGTGATTTTAAGGGTTTGGAGAGGGGGTGGCACTGTCTCTGCATGGGGCAGTGGGTTTGCAGGGAGGCTCAGTGACAACTCGAGTGACATTGTCCCTCCCACGCCCTGAGGGACCACAGAGCACCCACCAGAAACCCCCACTTCCACACTCTCCACTTCTTCCCTTCTTTCAAAGTAATTTAAAGTAACTAGTTAAGAGTCTCCTATAAATAACTCTGCTAAAAAAAACTAATCTAGTTTCTGCATTCTGGGTCAGCACAGCCAAGTTTAACACGCAAATGTTCCCATTCCCAAATCCATGGTAAGAGGACCTTTTAAGGTTGTGTGGCTGAAATGGAGAACATTAATCACACGGATGAGCAGCTTCAACACGTGGTTTGGGAGATGTGGCAGCTCTGAGTGGCACATCCCTACAGTCCAAACCCAGTGGATACAGTGGGGGAGAGTTTAGGGGATGGTGAAGTCCTGGCAGAGGGAGAAACAGCAACTAGTCTTAATTATAATGAAATTCAAACATTACATTCCATGTTTAGTGGCAGAAAAAGGGAAAACAGCTCTATATTATCACACTGTTTTCAGCACAAATCCAAACCAGCCCCATCCCAGACACTGTGAAGAAAATTAACTCCAGCCCAGCCCAAACCAGCCCAGAGGGGTTTAAAAGTGTCCCGTTGTTTAGGATGGGGAGGGCGATGCCAGCCATGGCACAAACACCCAGGCAGTGGGCACAGGGCAGGGGTGGAGTGCTGGGGGGGTTCTCTCCTTTGTGGTTCCCTGCAGTCCAGCCTGGCTTTTTTAGTTATTGCAAAGTGAAGAGAGGGAGAAGGGAAACATCTGCAGCCAGTTAACTCCTGGGACTTTTGAACTGGTTGCTATGCAGCTGTTCATCCTGAGGAGACACAGACCTGCCCGGGGGAGGGGGGACGTGCCTGCTCTGCCACTGCCAGATCCTCCTTGGGATTTGTCTCTTTGGCAGCAGGAACTGACCACCAGGATGGGGGAATCCTGTCAGCCCCAGGAGCTCAGGGGACCAAAACACCAACGCCATGAGGCAGGAAAAAGATTGGCACAGAAATAGGGCACAGGCTGGGGCTGGAATGTTGGAGGTGTTGTGGAGACATCCACTGTTTTCCCATCTGACTGTGGGGTGGGAATCAGACTCACAGAAAGGTTTGGGTTGGAAGGGATTTAAAGCTCATCTTGTTCCTACTCCTTGTCAAGGGCAGGGACACCTTCCACCAGCCCAGGTTGCTCCAAGCCCTGTCCAACCTGGCATTGGACACTCCCAGGGATGGGGCAGTCACAGCTTCTCTGGGCAACCTGTGCCAGGGCCTCCCCACCCTCCCAGGGAAGGATTTCTTCCCAATATCCATCTAACCTTGCCCTCTGGCAGTTTGAAGCCATTCCCTCTCATCCTGTCACTACGTGTACTTGTAAATAGCCCCTCTCCAGCTTTCCTGTAGGAGACCCTACAGCTTCAGAGGGATAACAGAGGATAACAGGGGCCTGTGATACACAGGGAATAATAATACGGATTATTTGGCCAAGGTGGGATTAACCTCTGGGCTTCAGTGTCTCCACCAGGTGCTTTCCAGGTGACCAGCACAGATTAACCCAACTTTACTCTCCTGACAACCCAAGGCTTCATCCCTCCTCCCAGCTCCATCCCCCCTCGCCTTCCAGGCTGCCACAGCTTTTGGGTTGAAACTCCAAAAAAAAAAAAAAAAAACAACTCAGGAACTGTGCAAAGTGCAGTTATAAAAATAATTCCAGCAAATGGCAGGAGGGAGCAAGAGCCTGGGAATTAATTACATTGGCAGAAGTTTTTAACCACTTGCACCCCTGTGAGGTTGGGAGGGGGTGGCACTCAACACGCTCGGAGGGGTGGAATTCTTTATTTGGGTCTGTTTGAATGTCACCACCACCCTAAAAGTGAATATCTGCTGAGCAAAGGGGAGGAGCTGTTCCCTGGTTCCAGTCTGGCAGCCACAGGCTGTGGAAAGCTTTATTTATAGGATCTCTGTGCGCCTGATCAATTAGGGAGGTTTCTTTTCTTCCATGCCACGAGTGCATTTATAACATCTCCTACTCCCAGCCCTTGAAAATGCCTCCCTGTCTTCAAAAGGTGTCCTCTCACGAGTTTAACACATCACACACGTGCCTGATGATTTTTCCAAGTTTCCCCTCTTTTTTTTCTCTTTTTTTTTCACTGCAGACAGATAAAATCATTTTGCATCTTGTAGTAAACCCTCCACGTTTCTAATTATACATGGAGAACATATTTTCACTCGACCCTTCACAAGAAGAAAGCAGATATTGCTATTCAAAACACATATGTAATTTCTCTTTTAAAAGCTGACATCAAATAAGTTCCTTCTCCAATGCAATGAAAAACTGAATTTTAAAGGGTGAAGAGTGTGAACACAACCCCTTACAGATGAAAGAAGGTGCTTTACAGTTATTTTATTCAGTGCAAAGGAGGTTTTAATACAAACAAGGCATGTGGAATTTACTCTGAAATAGAAATACATCAGCAAAATAAGTTCCTTATTACTTCCATGGGACGAATGCAGGGCTGCTTTAAAAGCCAGTTTGCTTATTACTGTGAGCTACTAAATTTATTTCATTTCACTATTTTGGTGCTATTTTAATCCCAGTTTAAAATGGGTTTCCTGTGCTCTCTCTCAGGCTAAATTGCTGAAGCTTTTGGGTCAGGGAAGGAGGAAAGTAGGGAAGCAGGGAACTCCCAACCACCCTTAAGCTGTCTCCTCTTGGCCTTCACACCCCATCCAAATCCATCTCCACCAGCTGGGTCTTCATCTCACCCATGGTGCAGCACCCTCACGTCCACCTGGAGCACAAAAGCTGCGTGTTTGCCCTAAAAACTGGTTTCTGGGGGGATTTCTCTTTAAGAGACTCCCACCCAGAGCTGCCACTGTCCCTACACAGCCAGGAACCTCCAGGGGTGTCACCTCCTGAGATGGAACAGGGAAGGGTAGTTTCCTCTGAACACAAAGAATTCACACTTCCTCCCACCCCTGGAAAGGAAAAGGACTGCCCTGAGATCCGTTTCCTTTTCCTGGTGCAACCCCTCTGTGAGTATTTCTGGGATTTGTTGACCCAAGGCTGTCAGAGTTCTCCTGGAGTTGGACCCTAACACCCACACAAACGAGGCCTCCTAAAATCAGACTGTCAATATATCCCCTGGCCCCTAAACTGGCCATTTTTATTCAGAAGCATTTTTCCCCCCCATTTCTCCTCTTTTATAAAAGTTTTCTTTTGGACCCACACATTTTGCAGGTCCAACCTCACTGAGCTCGCTGTGGAGGGATGCTGCTGTTCCATCCCAAATAATGCAGCTCCTAGCTTTGCAGAGAGCACAAGCCAAGGGCAAGAGCTGTGGTTTCTTCTTCCTGACCTTCCAAGAGCCAGAAGAATCCCTGACTTCACTCACGTCATCCCTCTCATTCTGAGGCGTCTTGGAAATATCTGCCCTGGTGAATATTCCCTGTTCCAGGAGCCACAACCGTTCCCAGCATCCCAGGGACCTGCTCTGGCACCATCTGGGGAAGAGGAGGAGGAGGGAGGAGAGCCCACAGCTGCCTCCACCCAGTGTGTCCCTCAGCAGCTCCATCCCATGCCCACCCCCACCTTCTCCCCATGGCTCAGGATGGGGGTTCCACTTTTCCAAGGGAAAAATAACCACCTTTTTTTTCGGCAGGGAGAAGCTCCTGGTTGTGTCCCTCCTGCACACACACAGATGCCATGGTGACAGACACCTTCCCAGATCACAACAGCAAACAGGAACCCAGGGATTTGCGTCTTAAGGCCAATTCCACCCACGGGAACAACACACGCCGGGCATCTGGGGCTGTTTCCTGCACCAGCAGAACCCTCAGTGAGTGCTGGGAGGAACTGCTCCTGCCTTCTGGGCTCTGCAGGAGGGATTTCAGCCTCCTGCTGCCTGCCTGAGCCGTGCCAGCCTCCCACACGTGTCTGGCAGTGTGGGGGAGAAGCCGGACAAGCCCCAGCAGGGTCCCACCCCCAGTTCCCAGGGATGGCTGTGGGAGGATGGAGCCCCAGGCTGTGGGTCAGAGCATTCCCCTCACCCTGTTCAGCTGCAGTTGGGGTTATTTTGCTGTGTCCCCTATTTTCCCAGCTGA